TATATATATATATATATATATATATATATATATATATATATATATATATATATATATATATATATATATATATATATATATATATATATATATATATATATATATATATATATATATATATATATATATATATATGTTTGTATAAAGGCCTATATAATGTGATGTACACATAATAACACAAATGTTTTGGAGTTCATAAGCTAATGTCAAACTTTCCACTATAATAACAGATTTTTATCTCTCCCATGTATTAACCCAATGTTCGTAGTTTTTTTTCCTTTGCTAAGATATTAAATCACTTTTAACAGTTATGTAATTCATACCAAATCACTTAAGAAAATTTAATCACGTGCCGAATAATTAGGAAAATAAAGTTTACAATACAGCGAACTCGGCCTGATGTATCAAAACAGTATAGACTTCAAAAAATGTATTTAGAATTCATACAATATTTTAAAACCAAAATCATTATTGTCTTAATTATTGAACGGGTGAATCCTTAAGGTGACACAACATAACAACAGTTTTAACTTTCTTCCAAAAAATAATAATAAATCACTCTGTTTAATGCCGCCTGATATAGATCCTAAGCCCCCCCCCCTTTTGTTATACCAAGACAAGTAGGCCTACGTATAGAGTTTCTTCCAGGCATCTCTTCGAAAACGAAATGAAATTTATATAATTTATAGAGAAAATATATACTTTTAACAGTGTCCGCCCCCCCCCCCCCGAAGAAAGTCTACCGCCCCCCCTCCCCCGAAAATTTCAAGTGCCCCTCCCCCCCCCCCCCGGAGAAAAAAGTCTGGAAGAAACACTGTACATATACGACATTATACGACATCTACAACAAGAAGACTAGAGTTCATCGGGTCACTAACTGTCTACTATAGACATCCCGTCTGCTCACTAAAAGGAAGTCTTCATCGGTCCGCATACAATAGGGTATCTCTTTACGTCGTGGGCTAATTCTCGACCGCCATCTCCAGTCAGCTCAGGTCAAATGCCAGGCGACCGTACCCTACACAAAGGGTAGGTGTGACACTATTTTTGTATCGAATTACGGCCTGTCCCAGTTCAGGTGGGACTCACCAACATAAACCGTGGCCTCAGTTATAACAATCAACAACGTCGGCATTCGACCATTTAGTTTTTCCCAATTGAATTCAGCAACAATTTTTTTTTTTAAGTTTACGAACTAATTCAGATAACAATGACATTGCTGAAGCGCGGGGCCCCTTCAAGCGCGGGGCCTATGGCGACCGCCCCGTTCGCCACCCCCTAACGCCGGCTCTGGATCTTACTAATACTATACTATATAGTTTGAGTTTTTTCTTATTGTTTGAATGTTCACTATTTTCATTTCAGGTTTTTCTTTTCATCAATTAGTGATTCTATCGTAACTTATGACATTTTTTTTACTTCTCTTTACCTTAATTAAACCCCAACCTCCGCCATATTTTGTTGTCAATGTCACAACAAGTCATAATGTAAAAAATTATGCTTCACTCTGCCTTATCTAAGATCTCTAACCATAATTTTGACAACATTAAATGTGTTATCCACCAGCTTCCCTCGTAAACCATCATCTAAAACAATGAGCCAGTCCACCCCTTAAGTGCGTGTTGTCATTATGGCCGATCGCAAGTCTCCACCTGCCAGACACATTTTGGTTATCCTTTGTTGTCAAATTGTCAATATCAAGTACCCAAGTGAGTGATATGGGGTTGTCCATAAATGATGTCACATCTGATTTGCTACGGGAGTGAGTGAAGATTTGTGGCGTCAACTCAGGCGGCTCTGCAAATTATGACGTGTCGGTATCATGAAAGGAGGTGAACGGGGGGAAAATACCTAGGCGGTTGACGGAGAGCCTCTATAATGCTTTGTTCAATCAAAATAACGATAAATAAGCATTACTATATGTATACCTTGCTCAAAACGAATCATCACGAATATTGCAAGCCTGCTAGTTTAAGACATTTGGCAAAACGGCCTCAACACATTATCCCCGTCAAAAAAGGCTTGCCACCAAATGCCTGCCGACGAATAAGCCGCGTCGAATGCGGGGCGTTAGGAATACGGCCATTAGCATGGGCCGCGTTAGAGCAACAGTAGGCTATCGCGCTTTGTAAGATGACGTAAATACTTAAATTCAATTTCGCTAAACTGCGCGAAAATTTAGTAATGTTCCATGGTTTGAGGAAATTTATTTTCGTGGACTTAAATTGAAATATCATGTTGACTGTCTGGCTCTTAATTTCCGAATATATGTATCAAGATTCAGAACTCTAATTTACTTTAATATAAGTGTCATCTTATCGTTTATGGTGCCTTTTATAAAGCGCAGAGCAGCTTCAAAATCGGACGGGCATCCTGTTTTCACCAAGCTTCTTTTGGAGCTTAATATGGGTAGTCTAGTTCTATACGGTGAGAGCTTAATACATTTTTCAAGGGCCGAAAGTCTCAAGACAGCAAGCTTGCAGAAATAACCACGTACGTTTAAATGGACAAGTGATAGATGTGTTAGGGGCTGTGTAATGAACACCAACTTATGTAATCAAATTAAACGTCGCTTAAACGTCAAAACGGCAGTGCTTGTTTTTTTTTCTATAAAATTAGCCTAACGGTCGGCGGTACCGGTACATGACGTCACGCGCGAGCGTTAACTCGATGACGATGTGCTAAGTGGGGGAATGAAAAGGTGGGGTTCAAGAAATGCGACTCAGCATGCTTTTTTACATTTCTTGACCCTTCTTAATAGTTCTATCGTCCCCACTGAGAAAATGGATCACCAATGAATGACGCGTCATACTTCTACAGCTGGTCTTTCTCCCACAACCATCCCCTGTTTTCACGAAAAAAAAAACCCTGACCCGTCTCCAAAATCACATCGCTGAGTTCTACTCAACCTCTCGCCACCACAAATAACAATTTCTATCTGAAACAATATGTTCATATGTTTGCTCTGTAATAATGCACGCTGTCATTACTATCTTAAGAGCGACGTCATTTATGAGCGATCTAATATTGATTTGCTTACTGCAAATAAAGTGTTCAAAAGTTCGACCTCCCAACAATTGTTGTGGTCTTGGATGCACACTATTAAGTCTGAAAAGGTCTATTAGTCATTCATATCAACTATATTTAAAAAAAAGAAAAATTACTATACAAGGGGTCATCCATAAAAGACGTCACGCTTTTTTTTTTGACGATTTTTACCCCCCTCCCCTCCGTCACACGTCGTCACAAAAAGCCAGACCCCCCCCCCCCTAAAATGACGTCACACCAGAGGCGTAGCGACCCTTCTCGGCGCCCGGGGACAAACTTTCGATTTGCACCCCCTCCCCTCAACCTTTTGATTTGCACCCCCTTCAAACTTTCGATTTGCACCCCCCCCCCCCCCTCAAACTTTCGATTACTTTTTCCAACCCATTTTGGTGCCCCTAAGGTCGGCGCCCGGGGACATATGTCCCCCCTGCCCCCCATCGCTACGCCTCTGCGTCACACCTCAGCCTATCACCCCCCCCCCCCTCCAAATTGCAGTTGAATTGTTTTTAAACAGCTATATTTTTCCAATATCTTGTCTGAACTATGTCAAAATAGAGTATTTTAATCAATTGTAATTACAATATATTAAAACAGTTTTCTAAAACGCAAAATAACGTCTAAAATTCGTATTCTAACATAGCTTTTTTAAAAATGCAAGAGTGTGACGTCGCACCATCTTAACTCCCCCCCCCCCCCCTCATCACACAACGTCAAAAAATTACGGACCCCCCTCCCCCCTACGAGTGTGCTGTGACGTCATTTATGGACGACCCCCAGGCATATATTAAATCAATACAAAACAATCATTTTAAACCACAAAATCAACACAAAAGACATGCGAATAGACAATTTATGGTTTTTGAAACATAGCCGCTGCTTGTATTTACTCATTGTTGTCTCGAACGGGGTAGTTTAAAGTTTATTCCAGGATATTTTTATTGTTTTTGTCGTGGATTGTGATTTGTTATTCAATTATCTGTTATATTATGTAAAATATGACATAAATATGACCAAATGAAAGAAATATTCATTAGTTACCTTCATCGCACATTACTAGCTACGTTGGAATTTACGACGCTAAACTAAGATTTTACCTTAAAATCTACACATGTTATTGTTTCAGTTAAGTAATGGAGGCGAGCGAGTTGACGAGATTCCGTTCCCAATGTTGTTGACATGGAGTAAAAACGTGCTTTTTAGATTTAGACCGTAAAAAAAAAATAAAAAATAAAAACTTAAGCCTAAAATTAATTTAGAAATTTTATATTTTTAGAATAAATGTTATAAAAGTTGCAAATCCAGAGAACTTGAAAATAATTTGTTGAGTTTAAGGCTACATTTCTATTTATTTTCATCAAGCCTAAGTTATAACCGGATGTTTCACTTTCGTAAGACAAATATTGATTGGCTGTACAGTAACTTAGTGATCGATAACTATTTGTTTACAAAACTTTGCAGATCAAGTTTTTAAATTACAATGCAAATTTAAAACCCCATGACCTAGTATTCTATTTTTAGCTTACAATGTGTACAATAAAATCAATGGCGTCCTATCCAATAGCAGGATGCCATTGTTTATGTCGCCATTAGGCCTACACGTGAAAACCAAATTGTTTTTGCTTTTTTTATAATTTTTATTTAGTTACCGAAAATATTATAAACATCAAATACATCCAATCTTTAGTAAAGTCCGAAAAAAACCAGATAGACAGGATTTTATAACCATATTAATTGTAACTACGCTGTGCATGATTTTTAAATGAATTTATACACCTCTCAAATACCTTTGAGACTTTTCTCGCTGGTGTCCATTAGTAATTGATAATAGTTGTTATTTTTAAATTATTTTTTTTTTCGGTTCGCCTAATAACTTCTGTCGAAATAAATTTCTTCCCTTTCAACCATATTTTAATAACTTTAAATTGACGGTGTAAACTTTGATATCTCGACAGCCGTGCCCACACAATCGTGGGGATCAACTTCATCCAGAAGTTCAGGAACGCTGCAGGTGAAGACACGACAAAGTCTGCGGTGATTAACCTCGTTGACTTGGCAGGCAGGTAAAAAAACCCAGCTAATTTGTAATTTTGTAATTTTATTTTCACAATTGTTTATTATTATTTAACATTACGAATAATTAATTAGGCCTGGTCCCAATTAGGCTAATTAATTAGTAATTAAAGAAGCTAATATTTTTAAAAAAAAGATAAATATTTTTATGATTAATAAATGGCATCACTAATGGCCCAATGGTCAAAGGGGGTGCATGAGTAAAGTAAAGGGTACACCTGGTGTTACCACCACCTAGTCTAGTGATACCACTTGCCACTTGTTGAGGTTCAAGTTCAGTATTTATATGTATCTTTACATTTCTAAAAAAAAAGCTTATGTTCACTCCTAAAACATGACTTTAAAATTTAGTCATTATATTATATTTTAAATCTTTTACAATAATAAAGTCAAAATGCAATTTCATTTGAGCCAAAGTATGGTGCAGGAATATTTTTAATCACTAACTTTAAGGATTAACAAAAACCCACATTCGTAATGTTGTACAATGTCTGCAGTGAGAGGGCAGAGAGTACTGGTGCCACAGGGGACAGGCTGAAAGAGGGCGCTGCTATCAACCAATCATTGTCATGTCTTGGCAACTGCATTGCTGCTCTAGCGGAGAAATCTGGCGGGAAGGATGTCAAAGGTACTTTTTAATCAAAATTAATTAAACCCTAATTAAATAAAATATTTAATCTCCAATGTTATGAGACAATGTTTGATTCTTCTTCTTCTTTCTTCTTCATTGTAATATTGGAGATGATTTTCTTCAACATAATTAAGTATTATGTATCAACAATGTTATTTGGCCTGTTGAATCTAACTTCATTCTGCTTTTCTTTCTGAATATGCTTTCATAGCTATGGACCAACACGCAATCAGTTGATTAATTTTGGGGTTTTCTGTTCTAGATAAAATGCTGTCCCCAGCTCATGAGCCTAATCTCCTCAGGCACTTTTGATTCAATGGCACAGCTTATTAGAATTGCTTAAGCCCTTATAACAATATTTATGAGAGAGTAAGTGAATGGGAGAGTAAAAGTATTGCCTTTATGTGTAAACTAATTCATGTATTGTTTACTGCAGTACCATTTCGAGACTCTGTTCTAACCAAACTGTTGAAAAATGCTCTTGGTGGAAACAGCAAGACCATAATGGTATGTGGTTTAAGTTTGTGTTCACTGTATGTGATATGTGGTTTATGTTTGTGTTCTCTGTATATGGTATGTGGTTTAAGTTTGTGTTCACTGTATATGGTATGTGGTTTATGTTTGTGTTCACTGTATATGGTATGTGGTTTAAGTTTGTGTTCACTGTATATGGTATGTGGTTTAAGTTTGTGTTCACTGTATATGGTATGTGGTTTAAGTTTGTGTTAAATGCATCAAAAACATTCAATATAAAGACTATAATACGCTTTATTTACATCTGGTTCAAGTTAATTTAAAAATATTTAAATAAAACGTTTCATCTTTCTTAACACTAAAATATTCTACGTTTGGTACAAGTTAAGCTGCATGTAACAGTCTTTTAGTTTTGATTCTGTTTTTTTGTATTGTGTCACCAGATTGCTGCCATTAGTCCAGCAGATATCAACTTTGATGAGTCTTTATCAACCCTCAGATATGGTGAGTTGTTCATTTCAGACTGACTACAGGTCGCCAATACACTATTCCATATCAAGCTCTACCTACACCAACAAAGCATGTTATATATATCCAGATTAAAATATAGACGCGTAAATTATATATTTATACATACACACACATATTAATATATGAGTGTATATATATCTATATATATATATATATATATATATATATATATATATATATATATATATATATATATATATATATATATATATATATATATATATATATATATATATAATAGACATATAGATAGATAGATAGATAGATAGACATAGATAGATACAGATAGATGTGTGTGTGCGGTTTTTTATAATACTCTTTAATATTGGCAAATATAAATATTATCGTGTCTCAATTGAAATGTTGATCGAAAATTAATGTCATATATTGATTGTAACTTAAAGCTGATCGAGCTAAACAGATCAAGACATCTGCCACTGTCAATGAAGATCCAACAGAGAAGCTGATCAGAGAACTCCAGGAGGAGAATGAGAAACTTAAAGCTATGCTGGGAGGGGAGATAAAGATGGAGAAGTTGAAAGGTGATCACGGTGAACTTGATGATGAAGGTATGTCAATTGAAAGTGACATTTTCATTTTTTATTATTTAAAAAGAAATAATATCTATAAGTTATATACAGTGACCAAAATAGATTTTAAAATCAATAATGTAAAATTTGTATTAATTATTTATTTTATGTATAGAAATTTCAGAGTGTATTTATTTAAATATAAAAACAAAAAATTGTACAAATATATGCTACTTTTAAAATCACATATTATTCAATTACTTCTCTTTTTAAAATCACTCAAATTTTAATTTTTTTTATTCACAACTACACATTGTTAAATTTTGTGTTTTCCATTTTAAATTTGCTAATAGGAATGGAGGAAGAATACAAGGTTATGTTGGCTAACAATGAAAAACAAATGGAAGAAATGAGGAAATCTTTTGAAGAAAAGTTAAAAGAAGCACAGCAGGCATCAGTAAATAAAATTTCAGTCATCTTCTTTTCATGTTGTGCTGTGGGGGATAGAGAAAGTGTGAATGTTGAAGTTTCTTTTTGAGGTGTTAATATTTATTGGACAAAGGGCTACAACCTTAGTTTATCTTAGTTTCTGAGTTTTTTAACAGATGGTGGAGGATGATGGGGGTGTTAGTCTTGGTCATAACATTATATAAAATATTTTCGGAGCTGTAAAAATAGGCATGCTTTTAAAAACTAAACAGTCAAAATAATATTAAAATAAATTTGTTCAAATGTTTTATCATTGATGAATAATAAAACATAAAACTTATTGCTTTAAAACATTAGTAGTCCATACTTTTTGTAATTCTTTAACAAATAATTATTACTTATGTTTTTAAAGCCAAGGATCGTAAAAGAAATTCACTTACCTATTCAATAAGTGAAAAGTTAAAAGACAATTGACCCTAATTTTAATTAAATTTTGCTTAGGGTGAAAACACACAGGCCATGATAGCAGCGAAGAAGAAGAACACAGCCTACATGTATAACCTGAACACTGACCCTTTCCTGACTGGCCACATCATCAACTTCTTTGACACACCTGCTGAGAAGATTGGCAATGGGAAAGATGAAGGGGAGACAGAGCTTGTGCTCACTGGTCCAGGGTAGGTTTTTTGTTCAATCTTTTATGTTACATTAGTTAGCATTTTTTTTGTCCCATCTTTTATGGTACAGTAATTATCACTGTTATTTTGTCCAATCATTTATGGTACAGAAGTCATTAATTTTTCTATCTAATCTGTTATTGTACAGTAGTTATTATTTTCTTTGTCCAAGCTATTATGGTACAATAGTTATTGCTTTGTGTCCAATCTTTTATGGTACAGTAATTGTCATTGTTATTTTGTCCACTCTTTTATGGTACAGAAGTTATCATTTTTGTTCTGGTCTTTTCTTTTATGGTACAAAAGATAGTATCCTCTGTCCTTGTGTTTTATGGTACAGTAGTTATCATAAATTTTTTTTCATTCTTGTATGGCACAGTAGTTAGCATTATTTTTTTTGTAATTTCAATATAAAATTATGTTAACCTAAAGATGCTAAAATAGAAGCTGTCTACTAATTATTTCAGTCTTTTAGTGCCTTTTAATTTAAAAGTAAATATTGCTACATCTAAATGTAGGAGGTTAGGTAATTAGTTTGGGTTCACTTCTTTGCAGCATTGCACCCAAACATGCAATAGTGAGAATGGAAGGTGACAAGTTCACCCTGGAGCCTGGTGAACCAAATGTGAGACTCATGCACAACGGGAAAGCTGTGGTGGATAAGGTGGAGCTACATCATAACGACAGGTGAAGCACATTTTTGTTTTACTTTTCTCCTGGTGTTAGCTGAGCATGCAATCATTGCTACAATTGAAAATTAAAGTTAAATTGTGACCTTCAAATGAAAAGAAATTGTACATTATTTTTTCTTTTGGGATTCAGTAATCTTTTTAGGATCTAATGATTATGTTAATGTTTATTATTAAGAGTCTATTTTCAATCATAAGATTATATCAGAGGCTATTTCTTTATAAAGATTTTTTTTTATAAGATTACATCAGTTTTATTTTATTGAGTTTCTTTTAAATTTTATTTTATTTGTGTTGTTTTAGAAATGATAATTTTTATCCCTTTCCTTTTATCAGATTTGTTGTTTATATGTGATCCTTTATAATATATTTTTTTTTAAATCATGAACAAAAACCCCTCAAAAAATAATAATAAAATAATAATTTTTCATGTCGCAGTTTTTCTATATAAATCTACCTAAGATACATATATATTTCTTAAAGTACTGATCCCTGCTGTCCAGAACCTTCCCCTTGCATTCTTTCTATAACATATTGGATAACAACACCAATCATAACACTTAATAACAGCCATTTAGAAATAATAAAAGAAAAAACAAAACCGCTTATATATTTACCAGTGTTTTATTTAAATGCACTTAAGGCATATATCATAGATGTTTTCAACCTATTTTAAATTATAATTTCATTTTTTGCCCAGGGTGCTATTTGGCACAACACAGTACTTTGTCTTCGTACACCCCAAAGAAAGAGATGCGTCCAAGAAAACCTACCCAGAAGTCACATTTGAAATGGCCCAGAGTGAGATAGCAAAGAACTCAGGCTTTGACATCAGTGCAAACAAATCCACTGGTAAAACACAGTACTTGACATAAAGCAACTAATTAATACATAGGTTAAAATACAGTAAGTAAAGTTCCCCTTCCAAACCTGACGGTCTATTGGGCAAGTGAAGTAGAGTTCACTTGTTTCTGTGACGTCGGCATATGAAGAGGTAGTGTGGTCAGCACTATGCCCAGCCGCCTTTACTTTCCCTAACGTGAGTTAGGTACCCATCAGGGCTGGGTGGACTCACGGACAGTCTACAGACTTGAACCCAGATTTGAACTTGAGACTTAGGGGATGGCAGTCTAGTTCTCTACCACTCTGTACCCTTGGTAAAATACAGTACTAGATTAATATGTGCTACACTGGTAGATCTTAACACTAATACTAATAATGATTTCACTCACGTTAAAGATAGTCATATAAAAATTGTATTAATAATGGCCATTTAATGTGTCTGTGAATATTGATGAATGTCAGCTACCAAAAATTCTAATTTACAAAATATTTAGATGAAGCACTGCTGCAAGAGGATGTTCTTGATCTGATGCCAGCTATTGAAAATGCTAACTCCATCAGTGAAGATCTGGACAAGAAAATGAAATTTGAGTTGATGGTAGTCTCCCCTGAAGCAAGGGGAGAACTTGCAGGCAGAACTCAGGTGATTGTTGTCAGATGTTTGGTACACAGTGATGTTGTTGCCAGCACAGTGATGTTGTTTTCAGATGTTTGGTGCACAGTGATGTTGTTGTCAGATGTTTGGTACATAGTGATGTTGTTGTCAGATGTTTGGTGCACAGTGATGTTGTTGTCAGATGTTTGGTACACAGTGATGTTGTCAGATGTTTGGTACACAGTGATGTTGTCAGATGTTTGGTACACAGTGATGTTGTCAGATGTTTGGTACACAGTGATGTTGTCAGATGTTTGGTACACAGTGATGTTGTTGTCAGTTGTTTGGTACACAGTGATGTTGTTGTGCAAGAAGTGGAGCTGGGGTGGTATCCTAGGTGACACTTTTTAGTGATAAACAACTATAAGCATTAGCATAGGCAGGAATTTGGCATGATTCTGAGACTTTACAATTAGGTGTTGGGTACTCTATTGCTTGACCATGCCATTCAGAGAAGAAAAAATTATTGACCTCGATTACATTTTAATTAATTTAAAAAAAAATTCCATTTAAAAAAAGAATGTCAATACTTTTGTGATTTTTACTTTAATTTAAAATAATTAACATAATTAATTAAATTCTCAGGTGATGATTCGTGTAATCAATCTGGAAACCAAACATGAGTGGGTGTGGCCCAGGGAAAAATTCCTGAACAGAAAATTTGTCATGCAGGAAATGTACCAGAATTTTTTGGACAACGAGGAATGGGATTTGCCTAAGGTATAGCTGGCATGGTTAAACATTAAATATTTACTCTAATTGCTAGGTTTGAATTATTGTTTGTATTTTTAACTAGTGCAGCTACAATTTTATTTCTATTCTTTTGTATGATACATAAATTGACAAATGCTTGTAAATTGACAACAAATGTTTCATATTTCTTTTCTCTGGCTATACTGTGATTAATTTTACATAGATTTTGAAATATATCACATTTTAAGCACATGATCATTTCATATATTATTTTATTTTGTTGAGGTACACATTAATTGTCCACATGCACATTTTATTATAATTATAGGAGAAAGATCCTTTTGATGAAGATTATTCTGCAGATTTCCATATTGGCTCAGTAAAAGTATGGATGCAGTCTTTGTCTTTCATGGTAAGAAATTACAAAGTAATAACTAAGTCAGATACATTACTGGCTTGATTATAAACTTGTTACTCTTCATCTACTTTACATTAAACATTTTTTTTTACTGTCTGATTGAATGATTTAATTTGAATTTTTTCCAATTTTTATTTAGATTGAATCTAAAGTGCAGTTAGAGATCACAGATTACAGGGGAAAGAATGTGGGACTATTAAATGTGAGTTATTGTTCCTGATTGTTTTACTCTGCCAGGACAAAGATAATTCATATAAGGAAATGTAAGCAGGAATTACAGTGTTGCCAGCAATTTTCAAATGGGCTGCCAAACAGATTCAAAACGATGAAACATAAAAAATAAAAATTAATTTAATTTATTTATATACAAAACAATTGGGGTCTCAGCTATATCTAATAGCCTTCAGTTACAGCAAGATATGATCCCATTGTATGGTGGTTTGTGTTTGTGAAAAGTAAAACAACTGATCAGTAAGGGTTTTCTGCTAACACATCCAGTTAAATAGCAGATACTTTTCCTTCAATTTGTCACTAGTGGTGTGATCATACAAAGCTTGTTCTACATTTTAAAAACAATCTGAAAATGAAATGATGTATTAATACATCTACCTCATGAAATTGTTTTTAAAATTTTAAACATTATGCCTAAATTTTTTTAATGTATAATTGTAATTAAAAATTTAACCATGTTCAAATTCCTGGCACAGGTTGAGGTCATCCCATGTGACCCCAAAGGTAAAGAGTTCACAGACAAAGATGATGTTTACCTGGAGGACACCCAACAGCTGATTGATAAACCTGTCAATTTCGTTTTTAAGATCATCAGCGCTAGAGGTCTTCCAAGTCATTTTACTGTAAGTTTGTTTTAAAATTATCATCAGCGCTAGAGGTCTTCCCAGTCATTTTACTGTAAGTTTGTTTTAAAATTATCATCAGCGCTAGAGGTCTTCCCAGTCATTTTACTGTAAGTTTGTTTTAAAATTATCATCAATTGAAGAGTTCTTACAGAGCATTTTACTTTTGTTTGTTTTTAAAATCATCAGTGCTAGGAGAAAGCTTCCAAGTCATTTTACTGTAATCTTAAAGCATACAGTATATAATAATTTTTACGATAGAGGTCTATATTCTTAACATAAAGAAAAGTAAATTTAATTATTTTGATAAACATTTTTCATTTATTTTTTTATTTTTAAAATAGACGCACATTAATCTTATGTTTTATTTTGACTTGAATATTTATTAGGAGTTTTCCTGATACAGATATTTTACACTATTCTTTGCAATATCCATAAAACCTTAAGAGATAAAATAATTTCTCTGCCGCAGACCTAAAAGTTAGCAAATATCATTAACTTTTTTATTTTAAAATCCTATAACTTTGTGTTTGGTTTGAAATGGTTTCCCCTTAAAAATCCTATAACTGTGTTTGAAATGGTTTCCTATAAAAATCCGATAACTGTGTTTGAAATGGTTTCCTACTTGACATGTTGCCAGGATGTGTATGCCAAATATTTAGTCTACAAGGAGGAGAGTTTCACCAGCACAGACGTTGTCAAGAACACAGCCAACCCAGACTGGAACCACAAGAGAGTTCTCTGTTTTCCTAAAGCTGATGAAGAGGTGAGTCACCTTTAGCTGCCAGTTATAACATTAAAGTTTCAAATTAAAATAACTGCTAACATCTTATAATTATAATAAAAATATAGTCAACTTTATTTTGCAGTAAAACCAGAAATAACATTAAATAGTTTTTTTTTTTAATTATAAAAATTTGAACTATAGAAAAAAAATATTCTTGCCTTTGGTTAATTTTATGGATTTGTATTTGTTTCAATAACTGTAATTTAAAATAAAAAAAACTACAATTATTATTTCCAATCCAGCTTTTGAAATTCCTTAAAGAAAGTGCAGTCATGGTGCAGATCTGGGGCAAGCAAAAACCTCCAAAAGAGAAAAAAAATGTCAACACAAAAATGGCCATACTTGCCCAGGCTAAAGCCAAAGGTGGCATAGCAGCTGCTAATGATAACCAGAAGGTTTGATACAAACATTTTTGTATTCTGTCACTCTAGAGACATTTTCTTAAACACGATCCTTGTATTCTGTCACTCTACAGACATTTTCTTAAACAAGATCCTTTCATTCTGTCACTCTACAGACATTTTCTTTAACACAATCCTTGAATTCTGTCACTCTACAGACATTTTCTTAAACAAGATCCTTTCATTCTGTCAGTCTATGGACATTTTCTTAAACACGATCCTTGAATTCTGTCACTCTACAGACATTTTCTTATACACAATCCTTGAATTCTGTCCCTCTACAGACATTTTCTTATACACAATCCTTGAATTCTGTACCTCTACAGACATTTTCTTATACACAATCCTTGAATTCTGTCCCTCTACAGACATTTTCTTATACACAATCCTTGAATTCTGTAACTCTACAGACATTTTCTTATACACAATCCTTGAATTCTGTCACTCTACAGACATTTTCTTATACACAATCCTTGAATTCTGTCACTCTACAGACATTTTCTTATACACAATCCTTGAATTCTGTCACTCTACAGACATTTTCTTATACACAATCCTTGAATTCTGTCACTCTACAGACATTTTCTTATACACAATCCTTGAATTCTGTCACTCTACAGTTTTATTATTAGATATGTTAACGTAACTAATCTGTTTTTCACAAAATTACTTGTTTAGACTATCTAAATGTAATATGGAACCAGGAAATTCCACTTAAATTTATTTTTTAAAATGCAAGGCTTGGTTTTATCTGATTTATTTGCAACGGTTGAAATTTATTTAGAATTGTAAACAAATTCTATTGATAATGGTATGCCTTATTAAAATTAAAACTAAAGAAAATGAACCTTTATGTATGAAATTTTATCCCATTTATTTACATTTAGCAAGTTGTCCAATTACACATTTTTGTTATGTAATGTAAAACCTTTATGTATTTAAGAAAACTTTTTGTTTGAAACTGTTAAACAGAGGTTTGATGCTGATAAAGTCAAATATATGATGGAGGTTACAATGCTTAAAAAAAGGCAAGAAAAAATGGAAGCTAAGTTGGTTCGTATTTTCTTTATATTTCCTGCTTATATACCATTAACATCACACATTTTTCTGTTTCATCCTTCTTTTAAAGTACTGTAACAGTTTAAACATATTAATTTTAATAAACTACTAAAACCTTGAAGAACTTGAATCGCCACACGTCATTAAACTATCCATCTATATATCAAAAATAAAATTTCCAGAGACACATAAAACAAATGTTGGAGGCTGCGCTGGAACATAAGAAGAAGAGAATATCCACAGACCTGATCTCCCAGATCTACAACGCTGGCACTGAGGACCAGGCACAGAAATGTATCAAGCTGGTCCCCAAGGAAAAAGGTAAACCTCGGTACGTTTTGATAACATATATCTTACTGTTTTTTTAAAAGGTAAACTTCGGTACGTTTTGATAACATATATCTTACTGTTTTTTTAAAAGGTAAACTTGGGTACGTTTTCATAACATATATCTTACTGTTTTTTTAAAAGGTAAACTTTGGTACTTTTTGATAACATATATCTTACTGTTTTTTTGAAAGGTAAACTTCGGTACGTTTTGATAACATATAACTTATTGTGTTTTTAAAAAAGTAAACATTGGTATGTTTTCATAACATATATCTTACTGTTTTTTTAAAAGGTAAACTTCGGTACGTTTTGATAACATATATCTTACTGTTTTTTTAAAAGGTAAACTTGGGTACGTTTTCATAACATATATCTTACTGTTTTTTTAAAAGGTAAACTTTGGTACTTTTTGATAACATATATCTTACTGTTTTTTTAAAAGGTAAACTTCGGTACGTTTTGATAACATATAACTTATTGTGTTTTTAAAAAGGTAAACATTGGTATGTTTTCATAACATATATCTTACTGTTTTTTTAAAAGGTAAACTTCGGTACGTTTTGATAACATATATCTTACTGTTTTTTTAAAAGGTAAACATTGGTATGTTTTCATAACATATATCTTACTGTTTTTTTAAAGGTAAACATTGGTACGTTTTCATAACATATATCTTACTGTTTTTTTAAAAGGTAAACTTGGGTACGTTTTCATAACATATATCTTACTGTTTTTTTAAAAGGTAAACTTCGGTACGTTTTGATAACATATATCTTACTGTTTTTTTAAAAGGTAAACTTCGGTACATTTTGATAACATATATCTTATTGTGTATTTATAAAGGTAAAAATATCTTGTTTTTTTATAGATAACAAAAAGATATTTAATAAATAATTTTTATTACATTTAGAGCGGATTTTTTTTTTTTCAAACTGATGAAAATATTAAGCTCTAAGATCAAATTATGTTGTAAATTATAGCGTACACTTGGAAAACTTGGATAAAAATAAAATAAAATATGTAGAATTAGTTATTGTCTGAAAAGTCTTGCCAAATTTAACTGTGTTGTTACAGTATTTTAAAAAAACGAAATGTGCAGTTAAAAAGAATTTAGAAGGGGCTTCATTTTATAAACAATCATACTGAAAAATGCATTGACAGCATTTAAAATTTTCAGTTGATTCTTAATATTTTTAATTACTAAAAAACAAAATACAATGTTTTTGAAATAAAATGTATTTGTTTTAATTTTTTTAATAGATATGAATATATATTGAAAAAAAAAGTAAATTTTTGTTGAAAACTACATATTTTCCAATAATTTTTTAAAGAAAATATCTAGATTGATCAAAATATTACACTTTTAAAAATTCTAAATCTCTTAGATGATGATGATGATGACGACTCCTCAGGTGATGAAGAAAAGGATTCCAAAAAATCTGGCCATCACAAAGAAAAAGACCATCAAAAGGAAAAAGACCAACACAAGGAAAAAGAAAAAGATCATCACAAGGAAAATGACCAACACAAAGAAAAAGAAAAAGACCATCACAAAGAAAAAGACCAACACAAGGAAAAAGAAAAAGACCATCATAAGGAAAAAGAAAATGACCATCACAAACATGAATCTAAGCCACCAGCAAGTCCCAGTACAAAGAGTAAAAAATCCTCCTTTTGCATACTGCTCTAAGCAATACTTGTTTTGTTGAAATAGCTAGTCAAAAGATTGGATTGTTTTCTTTAAATAATTTCACTTTTGAACAATTTTAAAGTAATATAAGTTATTACAACCTATCTTCTATTAATCTTAGAATTGTTTTGAATTATGTAATTAAAAGTTAATTTATGTTTATTGTTTTATATATTTACACTTCTGTTTTCCTGTGCACAATTTTCAATCAGATAATATTTTATAATTAGTTTTTTTTTTAAATTCATTTTACTTGGTTTATCTTTTTAAAAGTACAGTTTTAAAAATAAAATTGTATATATTTATATAAGCTAACTGTGATTTCAATATTGTAAATAAAATATTAAATAACATTTATTTGTCGATAATTGAAAAAAAATCAACTTACAATTTTTAATTTTTTAAATAAAACACCAAAAATGCCATTGTAAATGCTGTTACTATTTTAATAGTAACCATACAATATTTTATCCCTTATTCATCGTTGTTTTGTGTCCCAGTAAAGTTTCTTGATCATTGTTTGTCCATATCTGCCAATAAATGCAAAAATGAAGCAAATTTTTAGCAAAACAAATTACAAATTATGTTAAACATATTTATCAATCAAATAATGTGACATTTTTTAAAAATAAAATATTTTAATTTTAAAATTGTTTCAAAATGTAGTTATAGTAGATCTAACATCAAATAATTTAGATTGAAGAGCAGTTACATCTAGGATTGTTTAAAATATAAAAATTATTTCACATGCAAAAGTTTTAGATTCTCTTTTTTTGACACTTAATATAATGAACGATTTTGTAGTAAAAGAAATATTTGCGTACTAGTTTATTCAGAGGCCAGTTTAAACTAGTAAAAATAACAGAAATAAAACTCATTAAATACAAGATAACAAATTTTAGAAAATAAAATTATTAATTAACATGTAGCTAAGAATTTGATAAAATTTGTAAAAATGAGAAAAAAAATTAAGTTTTAGAGAGAATTGTCAACTGATTTGTTAAATTAGGCCAATAATTAACATTAGGTTTAAGTTAAGCCAATCAACAGTCTGTTTCAAACTCACCTTAGCGTGGGCCTCTTTACAATATGACCTACATTCAAAAGTATGTTAGTTATATTTCGAGCATTCCCCCTTCCCCCCCCCCCCCCCCCCCCCCACAAATTTTTTTTTTACTATGTACAGAAAGTATGAAATGTAAATATTATTTTAACATCACTTGTCCTATAAGATTCTGTGATATTTGTAACATACCCTTTTCAAATAATTATATTGGAAACAACTTGTTAAGATTTGATGATGTTTGTCTAATTTAACATTATAAAATAGCGGACTTTAAAACAAATAAACAAATAAAATACAGTGAGCTTACAGTGTCTTATTTTTTTTAATCTTCTGGTTTCTAGTTTGGTAGTTTGTTTTTTAAAAAAAATCATCTTGTTCACTTTTATCAAGGAAACAACAAATTCATCAACCCCTCCCACCTTACACCTCTGCCTCTCCTCCCTACAAAAAAAATGTCCTCCTCCTGTCTGCCTCCCACCTGTAGGTTCCTCTCAGACACATGATAGGGCTACCCCTTCCCAAACCTTCCCCAGCCACTGTTTCTTTCAGACTTTTTTCTCCGGCTGGGGACTAAATTTTCCAGGGCAGCTGATACGGGTAAAAGCAGTGGCGTAGCGAGGTCGGGTGTCACCCGGTGCGGCACTTAATGGTGTCACCCCCCCCCCCCAGAGGCGTAGCGACCCTTCCCGGGGACAAACTTTCAAATTTTCAATTTTGCGACCCCCCCCCTCAAACTTTCCATTTTGCACCCCCCCCCCCCTCAAGTTTTCGATTTACACCCCCCCCCCCTTCAAACTTTCGATTTGCACCCCCTTCAAGTTTCTTTATATATTTTGCTATTTTTTGCCTTGGTGTCACCCCCTAAATGGTGTCACCCGTTGCGGTCCGCACCCCCTGCCCCCCCCCCCCCCCCCCCCCCGCTACGCCTCTGGGTAAAAGTATACATTTTCTATTTTAAAACATTTCGTACGGGGGGTGGTAGACATAAAAAGAACTTATGATCTGCTCTCTTCCCCCCTCCCCCCCCCCCCCTCCTGCACAGTTTGTAACAACGCCACCCATTACCCTTCGGCAAACCAAATAAAAAACCTGACTCACATAATTTTTTTAATGACTTTCTTTCGGTGTGTGTAGAGTTGTATGATGCCGCGTACGGGCATGACGACTATGTCAGTGTACAGCGCCACTACGACAAGGACAGGCTCGTAGTAGGTGCCGGTCCAGAACCTGTCCTTTCTGGTGATGAGCCAGATATCCAGGATCACATACTGAAACACATACAAGGATTTGATGGGACAGATATCCAGGATCACATACTGAAACACATACATACACAAAAATTTAATGGGCCTTATATCCAGGATCACACACTGAAACACATACATACAAGGATTTTACGGGCCTTAGGAACACATACTGAAACACATACAAGGATTTGATAAAATAAAAATAAGAAATAACACAAAATCATGTGATATCTCCTAATAAAAAACCAAAACAAACCACGTGAAACAGGAGCGTGAGAAGGTAAACAAGCAGCATGTCGATGATGTCAATCTGTTGACAAAACAATGATAGAAGCAAATCATGTTCATTGAGATCGTTAACATTATTCATTGAACAATGATACAAGCAAATTATGTTCATTGAATGAGATAATTAACATGTCATATTGATTGAAAAATCGTCATCTCATATTTTACTATTCGTGCAAAACACATTCGGCCGGTGAAGTAAAGTTCACCTTTTTCAGTTACTTTGGCATTCAAGGGAATGGTGTGGTCAGCACTCTGCCCAGCCGCATTCGTTTTCCTTAACGCGAGTCAGGTACCCATCAGAGCTGGGTGGACTCAGGGACGTCCCAAAGAATCGAGCCTGGGATCTGACCTCGAGACTTTAAAGTTAGTATCTGATCATGCCGTCCTTTGACATAGTAAAAGTAAAACGTAATCATGACACAATAATGCTAAAAGCAAATCATGTTGATTCGAAGCAATATTTATTGGCAAATAGGATTTAATACAAAGGTGACGCTCATTGCAGTTATTGGAGGTGCCCCCCCCCCCCCCAACACACACACTTGTATTTTCGGTGTGATGTCACCTCCCCCCTACATAGTTCATACTTCAAACTGAAAAAAAAAAATTGTTCTGACAGTAGATTTTACGTGTTTTCGATTTGGCGTCACTCCTTAATATGGTCACCCACCCCCATATATGGGGTCACCCGGGGTAGACCACAACCCCGACCCTACCTTCTGACTTTAATGCCTGTAATATATTATGTAAGTCATAGAATGGGCATATCCAAATATAAATGTAAACAAAGTTAACCCAGCTTTAATCGCCTTTAATAACAAAAATTTAATGAAGCTATTTATCATGTGTCGCCCCCCCCCCCCTTCCACACACCCCAAATATATTTAACTGTCCGCAACCCGTCATATCAAAAGTTAAAAAAACCGTTACCGGCCACTTTTATCACGCTCATTAAATAAAACGCATAGGAGCAAGACAAAAGCCGACACGGTACAAAGGCTGTATATTGGAGTAATCATTAACAATACATTTATTGACAACCATCTTCACTTTTAACTAGACCACTGATAATGATCTCAATATGCTGGCAGCCTTGTGTTTGGACATGTTTCTAATTCGTATATCAGGGGATGTAGCTCAGTGGTAGAGCGCTCGCTTCGCATGTGAGAGGCCCCGAGTTCAATCCTCGGCATCTCCAATTTCTTTTTTTTTTTGTTGATTTTTTTCTCTCGGTATTGACAAGCATTAGAAAAAAACATGGAAGGGTGGTATAAAATGTCACATTATTAGGACCTTATCAAAAAGGAAACCCCCACTACACAAGAAAAAGAAAATGGAGATACCGAGGGTTGAACTCGGGGCCTCTCACATGCGAAGCGAGCGCTCTACCACTGAGCTACATCCCCAGGTGTTCAAATTCACTTTATTATATAATTAATAGCATCTATGTCACGTGGGCTAATGTTCACGAGGAAGAAAAGATAAGAAACCCAAATCTAATCGGGGAATGATGACGGTGGAGTAATGGTGATAATGCTAAAAATGCCACTGTTAACACTAAGAAATAAAGCCTCTCTAATTATGCTAGAATAACAATTTTCATTGGTTATCAGGGTGTTAAAGGGTGTGTGTATAACAATTTGTCTGACTGCTCGTTACCAGTTGTCACAGTTTATAACCAACTGTGCTAATTCAGTGTCACATCAAGGTGTCACCTCGTAGTATAACCAGTGTCACCTCAAGGTGTCACCTCGTAGTATAACCAGTGTCACATCAAGGTGTCACCTCGTAGTATAACCATAGTGTCACCTCAAGGTGTCACCTCGTAGTATAACCAGTGTCACCTCAAGGTGTCACCTCGTAGTATAACCAGTGTCACATCAAGGTGTCACCTCGTAGTATAACCAGTGTCACATCAAGGTGTCACCTCGTAGTATAATCATAGTGTCACATCAAGGTGTCACCTCGTAGTATAATCATAGTGTCACATCAAGGTGTCACCTCGTAGTATAACCACAGTGTCACATCAAGGTGTCACCTCGTAGTATAACCAGTGTCACATCAAGGTGTCACCTCGTAGTATAATCATAGTGTCACATCAAGGTGTCACCTCGTAGTATAATCATAGTGTCACATCAAGGTGTCACCTCGTAGTATAACCACAGTGTCACATCAAGGTGTCACCTCGTAGTATAACCAGTGTCACATCAAGGTGTCACCTCGTAGTATAATCATAGTGTCACATCAAGGTGTCACCTCGTAGTATAACCACAGTGTCACATCAAGGTGTCACCTCGTAGTATAACAACAGTGTCAACCCAAGGTGTCATCGCTTAGTATAACCATAGTGTTACCTCAAGATGTCCCCTCGTAGTATAACCATGGTGTCACCTCAAGGTGTCACGTAAATTTCACACCTTAGTGTCAGATTTAGTTTTTAACTCACTCTATCACACCACTTAGTCACCTCAAGGTACCACCTCACAGAGGCGCCTCAGGGTGTTGCTGCACAATGTCACCCCAAGATGTCATCTCACAGTATCACCACAGTGTCAGCACATCTATTTTAACTTTTTGTGTTATCCATTTTTGTCACCTTACCGTGTCACTCCTTAATGACACCATCCTGTGTCACCCTTTCTTCCACTATCCGTGACGACCAATTATGCCACCTCATTGTGTCACCCCATTGTACTACCCCACTGTGACCCCCCCCCCACATTCTCCCTCGTAGCACACAGTACACGGTCGCCTCTCCCCCCCCCCCACCCCCCATTGTTGTGGACTAAAGCTTATACACGACACCATTAACAAATCCAATTGTTGATCAACACTGATATCGAATTGTAGCCACCTGTGTATCTACTGAGTCCATTGTTGATACAACAATATAACTGTTTAAAATAGTAATAATGACAATTGCTTTCAACTGGGGATGTAGCTCAGTAGTAGAGCGCTCGCTTCGCATGTGAGAGGCCCCGAGTTCAACCCTCGGCATCTCCAAAGTGTGTCCTTTTTAATCCAGCTAGATTTTTTATTTGCTTATTGGAACTTACATAATGTTCAATAAGTGTTGAAAACAACTTTATACAAATTAATTTTTAAATACTCCGAAACAAGAAAAAAAATTCTTTAGTAAAACCATTGATCACTGATGAAATAATACTCGATGTAGGTTGTGTTCAAATATGTATTAAACGATTGCAATATAAACACAATTTAGATACAAGTTAGTTATAATTTTGATAATAATAACACATTTTTAAAGCGATATTTTCAGAAAATCAAAACATTTCGTGGAGATGCCGAGGGTTGAACTCGGGGCCTCTCACATGCGAAGCGAGCGCTCTACCACTGAGCTACATCCCCGTTGTATCTATAGGAGCTACTCTAATCTTCAATAGTTTAACATACACATTTTAGATCTCCGATTTCCCTATGACTTAAAAAAAAAAGATTGTGGCTCCTTCCCCACTCGCATATAGTCACAAAAGTCAGATTCCCGACCTCAATTTAAAAAATGTTGCACAATTTAGCCGCCCCTCCCCCTTAGTATTTATATAAGTAAGGGGATATAACCAAGCTAAGATTATTTTTCCGAAAATTCTAATTGAGTAGTTTTCCTTTGTCAATAAATCTCTGTACAAAACCTTATTGATACTGATTTCATTCATCCCTTTTCATAACATTCAGCTAAAATGACCCCCCCCCCCAATTAGAAAACTCAAAACAATTTGAAACATAACGCTATATTTATAAATAAACGCTTGGTACCTGTATAAAGCTGATGAAGAAAGTGACCAGTCCGAAGATGATGACCAAAATGGACTGAGCGAGGCCGAAGCCAACGAACGAGAAGGCGTCCTCCACGTTTAGAGACAGTTGGATAGCCAGCATGATTGCAATACAAAGCTGAAAGGAGAAATTTATTTTTCTTACTGCAAAAAAAAATGGGGGATGGGGTAAAAAGTAAACACCGCACCCGAACGAAATAAAAACAAATTATTATTTATATGAAAAATGTATACCAGTGTCACCAAGTCTCCCCCCCCCCCCCCACGCCGGAGGATAACATATAATAATAGAAACACTGTATGAGACTTTGTTGTTGAGTGTGGTAGAGCACTCAACTGCTAGCCCGAAGGTCACGAATTCGAATATCTGTCCGGACTCCAGACAGGACTTCTTTGAGCCAACTCAGCGCTTATGGGTACCTGACTCACAACAAGTATATGCTTGGCCTAGTGCTGACTACACTATATGTCGAGATTGATGAAATAAATTATAGCCTACTATACCTGGGAAGGGTTTCAATACATTTAAAGTTAGGCTAAATAATTGTATTGATATTAAGGCTAGTTTGAGTTAAATAACATGGCTATTAGTGTTAACACTGCATTACATCTACATGTACGTTTACTTTACGTTATCGTTTTAAGCCCAGTACTAATGAAAAGACAAGGAGATTCTAAGCCCGATTACTCACGACAAAGCCCAATACTAATGATAAGACAATGAAATTCTAAATTACTCACGATAAAGGCCAATACTAATGATAAGACAAGGAAACTCTAAACCCGATTACTCACGATAAAGCACACATGCAACATGATCATCTCCCAACGGAATAAACTGAAAAAAACGTTTGAATAATAACAATAAGGGATGCATACTGTAAAGTTGAATTCTAAAAAATACAACAACCTATTTTTTAAATAATGAAAAACTAATAAATACCATCATCCATTTTTTTTACAATAAATAACATTATTTAAGAATACATTTGTTTCGGAATGTATGGTATTCTATTTTGGAACTTCAATGAAGAATAAGAAAAAGCCAACAGAACATTATGACTTTAAATATGAACACCAACAAAAACGGATTTTTCTAAATCAAAGTTGAAAACGTGATTAGGTAATTAAAATTAGCTTTGCTAATCAAAAGGAAATTCCACAAAGGGGTCGTCCATAAATGACGTCACACTCGTAGGGGGTAGGGGGGTCCGTAATTTTGTGACGGTGTGTGATGAGGGGGAGGGGAGGGGGGGGGGGGGGTTCAGATGGTGCGACGTCACACTTTTGCATTATAAAAAAGCAATGTTAGAAAACGAATTTTAGACTTCATTTTGCGTTTTAGAAAATTGTTTTAATAAATTGTAATAACAATTGATTAAAATACTCTATTTTGACAGAGTTCAGACAAGATTTTGGAAAAATCTAGCTGTCTAAAAAAATTCAACTGCAATTTTGAGGGGGGGGGGGCTGTAGGCTGAGGTGTGACGTCATTTTAAGTGGGGGGGAATCTGGCTTTTTTGTGACGACGTGTGACGGAGGGGAGGGGGGGGGGGGGGGGAGGTAAAAATCGTCAAAAAAAGCGTGACGTCATTTATGGATGACCCCAAATCTAAATGCTAGTACTGTAGTAAACCTTTGAAAACAACCAACTTACCACGTGACGAAAACTAAAAATACAACCAACTTACCAGGTGACGAAAACTAAAAATACAACAAACTTACCACGTGACGATTACTGAACTGCAGCCCCACGCACCGGACTACAGAAGAGAGGAAAACAAATTAGTTACAAAGATCGTCACGTGAGTGAACCCTATTTGCTGCTGACCATCAGAGGTTCTTTCCGGATTTGTTTTTGTGTGTGTGGGGGGGGGGGGGGGGGGGGGCGGGGGCGGGGGGGGGGGGGGGGCAGATGGTGTGACGTCACACTTTAGCATTATTAAAAAAAGCAATTTTAGAAAACGAATTTTTATAGTTATTTCGCGTTTTAGGAAACTGTTTTAATAAATTGTAACAGGAATTGATTAAAATACTCTATGTTGACAGAGTTCAGACAAGGTTTTGGAAATACACGGTATTTTAAGAAAAATTCAGCTGTAATTTTGAGGGGGTTGTAGGCTGAGGTGAGCGGTCCTTTTTAGGGGCGGGGGGGGGGGGGGGGTGGCTGGTTTTTTTTGTGACGGAGGGGCGAGGTAAAATCGTCAAATAAAGCGTGACGTCATATATTGGATGACCCCCTATCCCACGTCATCAACCCATCAGCCATGCCTGCCTTTTGGTCTTTTTTCCCATCGAGTTTTGGCTGTAACACCGTACAGAGGCGTAGCGACCCTTCCCGGCGCCCGAGGACAATCTTTTCGATTTGCACCCCCTCACTCAAGATTTTGATTTGCACACCCTCCACCTTTCAATTTATTTTTCCAACCCATTTTTGTCCCCCCCCCCCCCTGCCTGGTTTTCTTATGGGGGGGGGGGGGGGGTTAGGGATTTTAACTGAATGTTATGAAATCAGTATCAATAATGCGTTGTATAGAGATTTATTTACGAAGGGACACTACTGAATTAGAATCTTCGGAAAAATAATCATAGCTTGGTTATATCCCCTATATATATAAATACTAAGGGGGAGAGGCTCTAAATTGTGCAACATTATTTTAATTGAGGTCGGGAGTCTGACTTTTGTGACGATATGCGAGTAGGGAAGGAGCCAAAATCTGGTGGTTTTTTTTTTAATTGTGACGTCATAAGGTGCCTGGAAATCGGATATCTAAAAGGGTGTAGGTTAAAGTATTAAACAATGGAGTAGCTCATATAGGATTCAATGGGGATGTAGCTCAGTGGTAGAGCGCTTGCTTCGCATGTGAGAGGCCCCGAGTTCAACCCTCGGCATCTCCATGTTATATTTTAATTTTTGCAAATTTCACTTTAAGAAAATGTGTTGTTTTATCAAATTAATATACACATTATACAAACAGACGGTGTCTAGATTTTTGTTGAGTTAGAGACGACTGTTCAGTTAATTGCAGTGTTGGTCTAGTGGTATGAGATTCCAATATGGAGACATCAAGAACGAAGAAAAATAAGACTGGCGGCAGCAGTGGCGTAGCGAGGTGTCACCCTGGTGCGGTCCGCACCCCCCGCCCCCCCCCCCCCCTCGCTACGCCTCTGGGCGGTAGTGCCCTGCTTCATATACAAGCAACCCAAGTAGAAACAATTTAGCCAACCAGATGAAACCACTCACCACTAGAATAAAGAGAGCAGCGTCGACCCAATGTTTGCGAAGTATCTCCAAAGGGAAGTAACCCCATGGCTATAGCAGCAGTCCCGTACATAAGCCTGGAATTATTTCAACAAAACGTTATATCTGCAGCAGTCCCGTACATAAGCCTGGAATTATTTCAACAAAACGTTTATATCTATTAATATTAGTTCTGGGATCTCTATCAGTTATGACGTCATGCACCTGGTGGGAGGGGTCTCGGATGTTGTGACGTGCCACACGAAGGCAGGGGGCAGAAGAGTAGCGACCCTTTCCGGCGCCCCGCGACAAACTTTCGATTTGCACCCCCCCCCCCCCTCAGACTTTCCCATTTTCACCCCCACCCCCTTTCGATTTGTTTTTCCAACCCATTTTAACGCCCCCTAAGGTCGGCGCCCGGGGACATGTGCCCCCCCCCCCCTCGCTACGCCTCTGCGTGGGTGTCACAGAGGAGGGTGCTACGGGGTAAGATATGAGTAAGATATGAAGCGAGGCATATGTTCTGTATATCTTAAAACTAATTTATAACATGTTGATTTTCGTTTTGTCTTGGTATATGAGGTTGGAAATCTGTCGCAGCCATCCGGCTATATGTGACACTGTGTGACGCTATGTGACGCTATGTGACAATGTGTGACGCTATGGTGACACTGTGTGACGCTATGTGACACTGTGTGACGCTATGTGACACTGTGTGACGCTATGTGACGCTATGTGACACTGTGTGACGCTATGTGTCCGTTGTTTGACTTTGTGTGACATTAGTGAGGGTGGGTTGAAGAAAAGGCATTACGTCATGTATAAGCGACCTGTGCACACAGACCCTACGTGGAGATGATATTCAGCTATCGAACAAATTATCAGATACTCGATCAATTTATAAACTATTGAACAAAAAATTATCCATTGAACAAAAACAAAGTCAACTATTGAACAAAATACAAAACGCCTTCACCGACTGACAGGGGTGACCATCTAAAGGGGAAGCATTTCCGTCAAACATGTGCATCCACTCTTCCAAACTGGAGATTAAATAAAAAATGTATGTGAAAATGTAAGAATAAGGAAGTATTTGTTGACACCCAGGCTGAACGTTAACCTAAACTTGACCCCAACTCTAAATTAATACTGGATTTCACCTGAATCCCAAACCTTAACCTAATCCCAACATAAATCCAAAACCAAACTTTATTTGACCTGACCATTGACGCTCACAACCCGGCTATTTCAGCATCCTCCCCCCCTCCCCCACCCCCATATATAAAACTGAAAATAACAGCTTTCTCATATAGTTACAAATAATTGGCGACATCACTTTCTTGTGTCATTCAAAGTTAGTTTGCATTATAGTATTTTATATATATTATATATATATATTATATATATATAATATATATATATATATATATATATATATATATATATATATATATATATATTAATATATATATATATATATATATTATATATATATATATATATATATATATATATATATATATATATATATATATATATATATATATATATATATATATATATATATATATATATATATATATATATATATATATATATATATATATATATATATATATATATATATATATATATATATATATATATATAATATATATAGTATATATATATATATATATATATATATTATATATATATATATATATATATATATATTATATATATATATATATATATATAATATATATATATATATTATATATATTATATATATTCATATATATATATATATAGTATAATTTATAGTAGTACTATACTTGATATATTAT